TGCTCACTGTCAACCAGACGGGAACAGGAATCTACCGGAAAACAAGTATCTAGGCACAGCCGTGAGGCACTGTTCAGCTTCCGGATGTGCCTGTGAGGAACTACGTTGAGTAAGTCACTTGAGGCGAGAAGACCCAGCCTGAAAGCGGTGTCACTATTCCCTCGGCTTGAGTCCTGGACGGCATGGAAAGGAGAGAGCGAGCGGAGCAAGCATTCATCACTCTCTTCTTCCAGGCTGTGGATGTGATGCAACCAGCTGCTTCCAGCTCCCCCCACCTTGACCTCCCAGGATGGGCTGTGCCTCCGATCTATGAGCTGAAACAAATCAGTTCTCCCTCGAGTCGGTTCGGCCAGCTTATCGCAGTGACAGGAGAAGCGACCGAGACCGTGACCCTTCCCGATCCTTGGCTGTCTGTGCCTCCTGACATGTCTTCGGGGTTCACTCCGTCAGTTCCAACTCTGGGAAGGGTACATCTGAGAGCTGCTCCTCCGTCCAGTCTCCAGGCTTCCCTCCACTTTCCAGCATCTCCCCAGTCTGTTTATTGTGGCAGAGGAGGAGCAGCGGGAGGCACGCCTGCCCTAACTTCCTAGAAATGGGAGCCCTGCTTTGTTTGTGGTTACCGCTCCCCTCACACACCCACACACCCAAACGCTTTGCCCGGTTCACTGCTCTGCCCATGACACCAAGGGCACTGCCTGGCACATACCAGGTTATGGAAATGAATGAGCAAATGGGTTAACCCAGAGGAAATGAGAACAGATTAAAAGCAGGTAAGAGCACATTGTCCCCTGGTATGCTGGGTGGGGCTCAGGCTACACCCCATCAGCTCCTATCTTCCTGTCCCTCTTCTCCAGACCCCTCCCCCGGGTGCCTGCACAGGACACAGCTTGGAGCCTCTGGGGCTGGAAACTCCTGGCGTGTGCAGTTCTTTGCTGAGCTGGTGCAGGGATGGACTATGGGGGTGGCTGGCCTGGTTTCACAGCTAGGAGCACAGTGGACACTTGGGGACAAGAGAGAAGGTGGTGTGACAGGAGAGCGTGGCTAAACGTAGAGGCGATGCAGAGGCATGCCGGGGAGTGGATCTGTAGGCAGGAGTCTGCTAATGAGGCCCCACGCAGAGGGGAGATGCTAACTGAGCATCGGGGAAGGCCTCCCCCAGATACCTGCAGACTGAGGGCACAGGTTCACTGTTAGGGACAGGGCACAAACGCCTGCCACAGGCCACCCTCTGAACCCAACAAGAACATTAGGAGCAAAATGACTCTAAAGGTAACGGCCATCAGGATACCTGTGCGTCACAGCCCTTTCGTTGTCCTGATCTTAAAGAAGGCCAGAGTTTCTGCTGACCACGCAGCCTCTTGACAGAACACCAGCCAGCCTAGCAAAATCTCCACAATGGTCTTGGGACCCTTAGGCAGTTCTAGAGTACTGCAGCAGAGGTACCTGCTGTGGGGCCAGCCTGCAGAATGGGTGTCCAGCAGTCCTCAACAAGGAAGCAGCACATAGGTCCCAGCTCCCATGGGGCCAGGCTCTCTTATTCCATGGGACAAAGGGCTCGGTGTAGAGGGTCACCTCCAAGCCAGGGGCCCAACTTACTCTTCTCCTGTGTGGCTTGGACTGAATTTTATCCTCTCTGAGCCTTTTAGAGGTGTGTGTGTGTGTGTGTGTGTGTGTGTGTGTGTGTGTGTGTGTGTGTGCATGTGTGTGTGTGTTTGAGACAGGATCTCTTAGGTAGCCCTCAAATTCACAATCCTCCTGGCACCACCTTCCAAATGCTAGGATCCCAGGAGCGTGCTGCTAGGGCTGGCTGCTCCAGTTTGCAATCTGAAGAGAGACTGCTTGGAATGGCATTTGCCATGTGTGCTAAGTCGGGAAGGCCCTCTTCCCCATGCATTTCAATCAAGAGCAAAACAGGGGAAAAAATGTTTGTTCAGGACTATATCTGCACTCTCTTGACCTTCCTAGAAGGGCCTGGGAGGTGAGGAGGCGGTGACCTACTGGCGAGACCCGGGAGAGCTGGAGGGCAGAGGCCAGTCACTGTTTGTCCTGCCTGAGCTGTGCTGTCACCCGGCACAGCTGGTTAGGCACAGGCTGAGCAGGTCTTTCAATAAGCCACATCATCACGTCACAGTCCAAGCTCTGAAGGTATTACAAAACTACCAGTGTAGGTTCAGGCCCACCAAACCTGCCACAGGCCAACGGGTGCTCCTGGCAACAGGCAGCCCCTGAGGCCAATTGTGACTTCTCTGAGACACATGCTCCACACTTTCTCTAACTTTCTGATCCAGTGCAACTAGTGACCCCATGGGAGGCAAAGGCAGGCTGAGGCGGCCACTCACAAAGTCTTGTCTGGAGCTGTTGGCCCACTCAGCTCCTACTCTACCCAGTCCTTACTCCTGGCTGAATGCCCACCATAGTCTTGCCTGGCGTGTTCTGGGTAGGCTAAGGAGAGTTGAGACAGATGAAGGGGAAAGCATCCTGGAGTGTTCCTTCAAATATGGGCGGTTGGACATCTGGGTCACACAGCCCTGAGTGTGGGTGGCTGAGGTGGCCTTCATGACAACTGTTGTCCACAGAGCATCTGTCTTATGCGCGTACTATAAGCCGGCCTCATGCACGCCAGCATGCCTGTCAAGCCTGAGTGACCACCTCCGCCTGGGTGACCCCAGTTCACAGCCTCACTTCTGCCTGAGAGCTGCTACCAAGGGCCGCAGCTCCTGCACCTGCCCTTGACCCACAGAGTGCGGCAGAGTGACATAAGACCTCACAGACTAAGCCTGTGGCTTCCCCCTGGTTCTCCTGAAATGCTTGATCACTGGACACTGTCCTTAGGGACCAGGCACCACGAACAAGGAGCTGCTCTGGCCTCTAACCACTGCCAGCCAGCACTGTACTGAGCTAATCTCCAGGGTCACCTGAGTCAGCCCCAGCGATGTGATCCGGATTGTTATGGAAAGCTCCAAGCCAGGACCAACCTGCTGAGCCTAGGTAACCTGCAAAACCATGAGGCCATACAGTTTTCCTTGAGCCCAATAGACGCTGGGTGATGTGCTACCCACCAAAAGAGAATGAATAGGCTGCCGCTGCGGAGACCACGAGGTAGAAACGGCACTCTCTATTTTATAGCTGACAATGCTGAGACACTCGGGGGATAAGGGACAAGGCCAGCATCCACAGCAGCAAGGGTCAGGGTCAGCTTTGAACCTGACCTATTCCTAAAGTCTCATTCTCTGCTACCCTCAGCACTGCCACAGGTGCCCTCTGGGCTGCTCAAAATGCACAGCTGTCCTCCAGAGAATGCTCTATGCCCCAGGGTCCTCAGCCTCATTCTTTCTGCTGGGCTTGAAGCTAGAGGCTGGGACTTCCTCCCTCTTAAACCTACCTGGAGTGAGCCATGGAGGCTTGGGCCAGACTTGAGACGAATGGCCTCATATATATTAAGCAAAACAAATGGCCTCCTTTGGGATGAGAAATGGAGCTGTGGTAGGCAGCTTTAGAAGGTCCTGTGGAATCTGGTGCTGTGTGGGTAAATGAGCCAGCCATGTCCAAGGGAAACACAAAGCCCATGGTCAAAACCTGCAGGCTCAGCGTGGGAGCCCAGTGCTATAGTGGGAGCCAGGGACTGCTGCATGGCCTGGGGTACAGAGAAATCCTAGTGCTGCACTAAAGCTGAGTGACCCAGGGCAGGTGTCCCATCCTTTCTGAGCCTTGGTTCCCACACAGGCAGCAGGAGGTCATTCATCGTTCCTGTCAAATCCTGCACGGGAGCTGTCTAAGAAGTCTGTGGAGTGCTTGAGTATGGGAGCGCCATGCCTACAGCGCCTGTCACTCATCATAGCTGCACACCAGACCACCGGGGCTCAGCTCCTTTCTGCTACCAGGACTGTGGCCCTCAGTCAGGTTTCTTGAGTTCCTGGAGTGCTGACCCAGAGCCCTGCTGGGACCCGTGGGACCTGAGCCACCCCTGCTGCATTCCTACAACGATGGAGAGCAGCTGCCCAGAGCCACCGTGCTCAGGGACATGTGTCCCCAGCCGCCAGGATGAGGCCTAGACAGCCAGGCCAGTGACACTGTGCTCCGACACTCTCACGTCTGGTAACAGCTCACTCCAGCATTATCGCCAGCATCTCTTTGGACCTCTCCATTCCTTGCAGATGCTCTGGACCACTGTGGTGTGGCCCATCATATCCTTCCGTTTCCCCGAGATTTAAACCATTGGCTCAAGGATGGTCACATGACTTGTGCTAAGTCAATGAGAATGTTTACTAGCAAGGTCAGGAAAGGAACCACCCCTCCCCCCACTTCCCAACCCCCCTCTCCCCCACCCCGACCCTTGATGATTGCAGTATGTTTATAAGGTGCTGTTACGAAGCTGTCCTTGGCAACAGCTTTTGCCACCACTCTGAGGGAGGCTGCTTGAGACTGAAGCTGTGAGAGACTGAGGAAGAGGGAGAGAAAGGCTGGGTCCTTGAGGAAGTCACCCAGACACTACAGGGGCTCACCCAGCATGCGTTCCACCTCATTGCCAATGGACACCTTGGGACTCACTCCTAGTTCCAGAGGTTGGCCTGCTTGAGCTGACACATTCCCTAGCTGCCATGACCATTCAGGTGAAAGGAAAGGACCCGTGTCCATCAGAGGGAAGCTTGGGACCTCAGCCCATGCTGGAGAAAGAGAGGCCTCATCTCTGAATGCGAAGGACACACCGGTCTTGGGGGATGTCACTCACTATGCTGATCTCCAGGGTCTCTCCACTTAGACTGATGGGGGAGGGGATTCTGTCACAACCCAGAGTCCCAGCTGGTTGTGTGTGCCCATCCCCCAACCCCTACCCCTGTCCCGTACGACACCCTAAGCTTCCGAGATAAACCGAAAAATAAACACCCCCTGTTCTTGTCGTTATGGGTTTCTGCCATTCACAAGCGAAAGGCTCCTGAGACACGCCTTGGTGTACCCAGCATGACTCAGACTCTGCTCCCTGAAGGTCAAAGGCCGCTTACCAGAAGGACCACCCATAGTCCCAGGAGTGAGGTCTCCAGTCTTCAGGGCCAAGGCTCACGGTGACCTGGAACACCTGTGTGTACATCATGTGTGCCACCATTCCCAGGAGACCTGTGGAGAAGAGCAGGCGTCAGGATGCAGGGAGGAGCCTCGTCCCCAGCTCTAGGACCCCCAAGCCATTTGCCAGCCGGCCTGTTAGCATTGGGAAAGTGCATGAAAGGGACATCGTTGGGAGCAGAGTCTGGGAGACACTGGTGTGGCCCAGAGGATATGTAGGCCAGCCCTGGGGTTGTTTAAGCAGGGGAAGCAGGTATAAGCTCAAAACTGGTGCCTGTAAAGGGTCCAAAAGGGCAAACATTTGAATGTGGAGTCTCAGTCATGTGGTCTCTGTTAAAACTGTTTCACTCATCCAACTGGCTTCGGGAGATGTGTTAACTAGCGAGTTTCTCCAATAAAACTTTTCCTGAAGAAACAAAGGGCTGATTTCAGCCTGCAGTCATATATGCTGACACCCATATTAGAACGACCACTCGGCACACGTCTCCTCCAGGGTAATTTCCAAAGCTCACGGCAGTAGCGGGTCATAAAATCAGCTTCACAGATTTCTTTCTTAACACAACCATGGTGTACATGGGATGGTGTACAGCTTGAAACTGGACTGTCCCCCATGGGATCACTGGTTCATGTTTTGGACCCTTGTTCCAGCCGCAGCAGCTGGTGGTGCTTTTGTGGAAACTATGGGTATTGCAGGAAGTGGGGCCCAGCTGGAGGCAGTGGGTCACAGGGCGGACCCATTATCCCTGCCCCTCGGCCTTTCTGACTCTCTGCCTCTTGGTCCACCATGATCTAAGCTGTATACCTGCTGCCATGAATGAGCTGCACAGCCTGCCTGTCTTACCAAGGTGGATTTAAACCATGAACCAAAACAAGTCTTTTTCCCTTAGGTTGCTTCTGCTGGGTGTTGTCATCACGGTGACACAAAAGTAAGCTGCGACACAGCCAAATGGAGCTGGAGTAACGTTTAGCTCTGAGCATGTGCAGTGTTGCATGGGGGTAACTCTCCGGTTGTAGAGCTATGAGCTTCAGGAAGATGGGGATGGTCTCTCCCCTACCACACTTTTTTCCTGCGTGGTTTTGGGCTGAGCACTTGACCTCTCTGAACCGCCAATCTTTCCATCATCCCAAAGAGGAGGATCGTGGCAAAGATAAAGATGATCATGTGGGGAAGCAAGGGACCAAAGATAGAGCATCCTAGGTATCTGATGCCCACTAGGCACAAATCATTACAACCACCAGGACTGATACAAAACAGCACTTCTCTTGGAGAAAGGGCTCTAGACCTGTGCAGTTTGAGGCCTCCTGTGGGGCCAACCTGAAGGTATGGAGTTGGTTTTAAGAGAGGAGATGGTCCTGATGAGGAACGGGGTGGGTGATGAGAGGAAGAAAGGAGATCAGCATCTTTACAGCTCTCAGGCAACACCCATCACGGAGGGAAGCCAAGGCTGGGGTCGATGCAGAAGTGATGGAAGAGCGCTGCTTCCTGGCTTGCTCCCCGTGGCTTGCTCAGCCTCTTTTCTTATAGCACCCAGGACCACCTGCCCAGGGATGGCACCTCCCTGGTGCCCACCCACACCCACCATCAATCAAGAAAATAAGCTACAGACTTGCCTATATGCCAAATGCGATGGGGGCATTTTCTCAGTCAAGGTCCGTCCAGTTTGTGCCAGGTTGATAAAAACAAAAAACCTAACCAGCACAGACTGACATTCAGATTCTCTTGAGTTTTCTTCTTGTGTGGTTTGTTTTATTTTCTTCTGTTTTCATTGGGAGTGGAGTGTTTTGTTGTTGGTTTTTTTGGGGGAGGGTTGTTTTTGTTTGTTTGTTTTGCTTGATCAGGGTAGCCTTGAATTTAAGAGTTTTATCCTCCTGAGTTCCGGTGTCACAGATGCACCACCACACCCAGTTTCCAAATACTCTTTTAAAAACTTTTTTTTTTTTTTTTGGTGTGTGTTGTATACATGGGTTAATGCTCAAGTATGCATGTATAGGGGCCAGGGACCAACACTGGGGACCTACCTCTACTGCTCTCTAGCTCACCAATCACCTAGACTAGCTGGCCAGTGAACCCCACCCAGCCCCTCCTTAGCAGCGGGATTACAAGGTGATGTCACTCAGGTCCTCCCCTTGCCTGCCAGGCACTTTCCCAGCAGCCATCTTCGAAGCCTCCCCCCACCCACAGTCTTATAACCAGGCCTCCTCCCCAGCTGCCTCACCTGCTGCTGCCCCTCCTCCTCTCACTGCCTCTGTCATGCTTTGCCCTGCTTCTAAAGAGAAGGCAGGAGAGAAGGTGGTGACAAGGGAAGAAATGGTGGTAAGGGCAGATGAAGCAAGGGGAGGAGCAGAGAGACAGGAAGGCAGAGGATGCCTCACGCTTCAGTGTGTGGGTGAACGCCTAGCAACTCTAAGAAGAAGGAAGGGGCACAGAGAGGGAAAGCCCTACTCGGACCATCTACCGAGTCCCACAGCCAACCTTGAGCTACCGAGGTAAAGACCCAAGTGTGGAGCTGAGGAGAGGAGGACCCTGTAGCTGTGTGAGCTGAGCCACAGCCCTCCCCGGCCTTCCACGTGGTACCCCAGGGCTCTGCCTTGATGCTGTCAAGCGTTAAAAGATCTAAGCATCCCATGGCCACACTGTGTGCTATTGTCCCTTAGAATCCCTGAGCTGGGCGTTGCCATGTTTATTATCTACTTTGGTTTTCTCCACTCTGAATATGTGCGGCCATAGCCTTCCTCAGTCGTGTGTGTGTGTGTGTGTGTGTGTGTGTGTGTGTGTGTGTGTGGTTTGTGTGTGCAGTAGCGGGCACACACGCGTGCAGGTTCTTCTGGAGACTGAGGAGGGGGTTGGGTATCCTCGTCTGTCCCTCTCTGCCTCATTCCTTTGGAATGGTCTGTTCTTGAACTTGGAGCTGAGCTGGTGGCCAGCAAGTCCCGGCTGTTCTCCTGCGTCTCTCCCACAGCACTGGTGACACGCACAGCACCGGGCCTAACTTTACACGCAGACTCCGGGCTTGAGCGCTCGGGTTCCCATACTCTGTGGCAGAAAGCACATCGCTTGCTCGAATGTGCGTCTCTCCAGCTCCTGAGCGTTTTCTAAATCTATTTCCTCAGGGAGCAGAGATGCTCCGTGGGTCATATTCCTGCCATGCTGGTGTGAGGCCCTGAAGTCAGGGCCCACGTGAAGCTAGGCATGGAAAGCTCCTTCAGATCCAGCGCTGGAACACGGTGGGCACAGAAGGTCCCTGAGACTCACTGGCTGGCCCACCTATCTTCTCAGTGAGAGAGACCCTGTCTCACAGAGGAAGGATGGAGACCAACGTATGAAGACACATTAACCCGGGTCTCCATGTGGCATCCATACATGTAAACATCCCACATGAACACACACCTGACATGCACACACCATAACCTCACATCATACACTATTACACACACACACACACACACACACAAACACACACACACACACACACACACACACCCCATCTCCCTAGGGCTTGATAGAGGTTCTTTATGTATGCAGGCTACTAATCCTGCTGCTGCCCAGGTGGCAAAGCTGACTGCCTGTCTTCTCTGCACATGGCTTTTTGATTTTAGTAATAAGTTTTGTTTTTTCGGAGAAGTGTGATTGGCAGGCACAGAGTGCTCACACCCTCCCCACACCCTCAGTTCAGAAGTCGCTTTCTCTCCTCAGGGTGGGACACTTTTTCCTTTGGAGGAGCCAGAGCCTGCACACGGCTAGTCACTAAAATTCACAGTGAGCCCTGTGACTCCCACATCCACGGATCTGACAACCCCAGCGTGACGCACCATTTGGTGGCATCTAGAAGGACCTCGAGTCCCTAAGACTCTCCTGGTTCCGCCTGCCTGCCCCTCACTCCCCATGCCCCCTAAGCTGCCGGCTGCCTCACATTTGTCTCCTGTCTCCGGGCTCTGGCGTTTTCTGCATGTGGTGGTGTCGGAGTCAGAGACCGTGCCCCCCCCCCCCCTGGCTTGTCACCAGGAAGTAAGCGTTTTCGGTCCTTCCAAGTCTTCTCGAGGCTGTAGTGCTCATTCGTTTTTTTTTTTGCTTCTGAAGAAATGTCCAAGATCTGCATGGAGCGCCGTTTGTTTATGCATCTTATACAGAAGTGCCATCTTGGCTGCTTCAAGGTTTTGGCAGGATAAGACTGCCCCGGCCTCGCATCTCTGCAACTGACGGAGCCACTTATCGGCTGTTTCCGGCTTTTGCTTCTTGTGTCCACTCAGCACACTCTCCTGTATTTTCGCAACACACTTGTAGAAGTTTATCAGTTCATCTAGAGTTTAGCCTGCTGTGTGCTGTGAGGGAAGGACCTGCCTTCATTTCCTCAGAACCCCAACAGGATGGCTCTTTCTTTCTCCACCGCTTTTAAGTGATTCTTTCATGCAGGTTGAGAATCCCACAAATCCAAAACCTCAAAAATGCTCTAAAATCGCAAACTTCTTCAGTGCTGACAGGCGGCAAGCTTGCCCCTGACTTCGTGTGACGAGAAACAGTCAAAACACAGGTGTGAACATCATAGAAAAAAATCACCTCCCAGCTGTGTCTGAGGTGTAGGTAAAGCAAAAAAACGAACTCCCTCTATAACCTTTGGTCCGTCCCAAGACACCTCATTTGCATATGCAAATACCTCAGCTCTGAAAAACAATTCTAAGAGTTTCTGGCTCCCAGAATTTCAGATGTGGAGTGCTCACCCGCATGATGTTCCCAGTCTCCTAACACACACAGCTCTATTTCCTAGCTCATCACCTCATCCTGCCAGTCTGGACGCCCCCACCCATGGTGTGTCAACACCACACTTTTCAAATCATTACGCTTTGCGGTAGAAGCCGTGACCTGGAAGGACAAGGCTTTCCCTTGTGCCCCTGCCCAGTGCTCATTTGCTCTGAGACTGCTGCCCTCTCAGAAGCCCCAGAAGCCCCACCCCCTGCATGAGCCTCCCTGTGTCCAGCCCCTTTCAGTCCCAAGGCTGTATTTCACCCTTGCCCAAAGGCTTTAAGAGGTGGGAGTATGCTCTCCTCCCTGTAACATG